GTTGTGTGCCACAAATTCTTGGGATTGAGAACTGGTGTAAATGCTGCAGCCATTGAAGACAAATGTGAACACACAATTTTGAAACTATAACCATTTCCAGCCTATTGAACACTCCTTCTTTGCAATATACCAGTCAATAACGAATAATTAACTTCAGGCTTTAGCAAGTACCATGCAATGTATCTTCACAATGGTTCGGTAGGACAAAACAGCATAATTATATCCACTCTCCAGGAAAGGAACAATGGCATGAGTGTTAGAAAATAAAAACATGAAAAGAAGAAAGTACCAATAAGAGCTGTATTAATATTCATCTTTTCAGGACATTAAACACTATATGACATTTTATTGTGAAAAACCACAGGCCACTGACTTTAGTTAACAGTGTGAAAAATCAGAGGTTTTTTACCCCAGTCTGATGTTGATTATCTAGAACTTGAAAATAATAATGAAAATTAAATGGAAATAGCTGCCTGTTTGTGAAAAATGCAATAGCTACAAGCCCTTGGTTCAGTCACAATATGCCTTCTAAGTTTTGAAGCTAAACATAAGATCATAAAACTTCATTTATTTCTAGGGACTATCAAGAGAGATGCTATAGCAGAAAGTCATGAGCCTGTGACTGAAAACATGATCCAAGGTGTATACATCTCTTCATACATGTGCATACACCTAGACTCAAAGCACAAGCAGGTGGAATCAGACCTGTTCACACAATATTTTTTTAAAAGAGAAATAGCAAGTGTAACAAGTAATTTATGTTGTTACTGTTTCTGATAGCTTGTATTTACTCTTTCAATTTCCTTTAAGCACAGGAAATTGTAACTGTAAAATCTGTATTTTCACAAATTCAACTAGTAATTTATCGGCAGGCTACTGCAAAATTTATTACCTCTCTTCAAATCCTTTCTTGAAATCTTTGTAAGGGAATGCATTTTGGATTTTTTTTTTTTTAACAAAATACATATCTCCTCTTAAATCAGATCCCATTTTAGGAGCTAGATTTACAGAGGCTTAGGTACCCATTTGAATCATACCTTCAAATTCCTTTCCCCTTCCCAAGAAATCCCAAAAAATTAGATTTTCCATGCTCTCAAAGAGACAGCACAAGTATATTACATTTTCCTCACTCATAATACTCAAAAAATATCAGCAAGGGTTAGGTTAATGACTAATGCATAAATAATACCACCCATTGCACTGAACAGCATTTTCTCACAACTTCCTTGAATATATTCTTCTGTCTTCATTCATCTCCAGTTTCCCCTTTTATTCTTAGACTGTAAATTTGCAAAGGCAAGCTCACCTCACATAGAGCTGTCCAATTAATATTTCTTTTCATTAACCAACAAAAAAGGCTAACCTTGCCTTTCAGATAGTACTGTTTGTGGTCACTTGCTTGGTGAATTAATTTAGTAATATAGTAGGTGTATTTCATAAAGGACATCAGTCTCCCAGTGACTTAGCGGTAAAGTAAGATTTGTCTAGTCCTGATCTATAAAAATCCTCTTTGTGGCTTGTCTTTTTTCCCCATGCTTCAAGAGAATGACCCACAAAATGAAGAGAATAATAAGCAAAGAGAGGAAAAAAAAAAACACCCAACTTTTAAAGCCAGTACTGTGCCTTTTGCCCAATTATCCGCTTTAAGAAGCAGCTATTCAAATATATAGCTCAATGTACACATTAACTACCTCCTCATATTCACATATTTAGATATTTTTCATTTGTTGAATTACCTTGTCTGCATCCACTTTTCCTCTGATAAATTCTTTCTTCCAAAATTCCAGTGCTTGTTCCAGAGTCAAGCCAATGCCTTTTAAGAACAGTCCATATTGCATACGGCCTCCATGACGGAGATGATGGTTATCACGTAGGGCTTTGTGCAACTGGCGCATGCAAAGAGGGAATGATTTCACAGAAAGCTGTCAAGAAAAAAAAATATTGTGTTTAAGGCATACTGATCATTTAATTTGTAGAATATATGCTTACTGCAATTATTAATTAGCTCCACTTGAAAATGCCAATGGCTGGAAGAAAAGATACTCATGTGCAGAGTGCCTTGGGACTGATGATAACACAAGTGTGTCCGTCAGCCATCAAATCCAATAGTTGTCTCAAGAACAAAATCCAAAGGACCTGACATATTACAGGTGGTAGTATCAGACTATCTTCAGGTACAAAGTAACATCGGTTTAATTGCTGTCAGGAAAAACATATCCACAGTACCATTATAATGCTTCATGCTGCTTCTTTATTTTAGCATCAGGAATGGCAAGGTGACCTTTGTTAAAGAGTTTGTGGGGGTTGGGGGAGGGGGTGGGTTTTTTCAAACATCTTTGAAAAACTACAAGCAGGAGTAAAATGCACTGCAAGTGATCTGCAGGTTTTTTCCCTGAAGAATACTATTTCTTATAAAGCAAAATCTCAGAGATAAAAAATGTAACATTCACGTTTACTTGGGCTTTGCATTTTTATTTTTAACATCTGAGTCATGCCATAGAATTCACTAACAAAGGAACAATGTCACGGCTAAGACGGACACCTGAAAACACAAACGATTCTTACAGTTCACATAAAGGAGTTGTAGTGTGTTTTGAATTCTCTCTGTATCATTGATGTGGGTTTACAATCCATGTTATTTACTTCCTTGTTTTGAAAAACCCTTCTGCAAGTCAAAAGTCCAAAAAAGAACAATGAAAAGACTAATACTGCAACTCAATAATCATAAACTAAACATCACGGGTTGCAAAATCATTAAGAAAATTTTGTTAAACTCTGTTTATAATTATGTTAGGTATTTGTGAAAGTACACAAAATTAAGCAGCAAATTAAGCAATTCAGTCTAAACCCTGATTAGATGCATTTTCAGTTAATTCTGCTCCATTTTAAACTTTATCACAATTACATTCAAGTAGTTCTCAAGAGATACAAAGCAAATATGAATCAAAAAAAGAAAAAGGCCGTATATGCTGTCTTTACATAGAGTACTTGAATTTTAAAAGCTACGAATCAACATACAACGTAACCCTATAAACACAGGGGACTTACACCATCGATCTGTTCCAGATTAATTTTTCCAGTATTCTTTTGGACACTGTAATCTGGGCCAACATAAGAATGGCTGAAAAACAGAGCAAACAGCACAGCATCATGTCAAACTGTACAAAAAAAATTTAAGTTTACAAATTTTTAAAGATATTATTTTACTAATTAAGGGCTGCAAATATATCAGCCAAACCCAAGAAAAAACAGTATTTTACAGTTATGTAAGTAACTAAGATTTATAAAACCAACACTAGAGTCAACATGGTAAACAGAAACCCTTCCTCCCTTTATCTGAAAGGAGTGGTGAGGGGTCAGTCAGAACTCAGATCACAGGATCACACTCTGGCGACGCTGAGACAGACCTCTGAAGATCACCTTGTTCAAAACCCTGCTCAAAACAGGGTTAACTACAGCAGGTTGCTTAGCTTCCCATCAAGCTGGGTTTGGAGCATCTCCAAGGACAGAGACTCCATAACTTTCAGAGCAACCTGTTACAGTGTTTGACCACCCTGGCAGTAAAAAAGTGTTTTCTTATGTTTAAGCGGAACTTCCTGTCTATCAGTTTGTACCCATTGCCTCTGGCCTGTCACTGAATACACTGATAAGATTCACACACACACTAATTGCCAGCTATTAGGTTAATCAAGCATTCACAAAACCGTGCTGACGACTCATGATCACCTTTTTGTCCCTCATATGTCTGGAACCAAGATGAGGCTGACCAGCCTATCCTTCCATGGATCCTCCTCCTTACTCTTTGTGATTGCAGGGTTCACTTTGCTTTCTTCTAGTAATCAAGAACCTCTCCTATTTTGCTATTTGTGTAGCATGTAAAAAAACCAACCAAACAAAAAAATTGATGTATCACTATGAACATCTACCATGGGGGAAAAGTAAAAACTCAAAAACTACTTAACTGTGCCAATAAAAAGATGGGAAGGCTTTTACTGCAGTCCTGACATACCAACACATGTTAACTCCCGACAGCAGCTGTCTAGCCAAAACAGCACAGGGCTTTGCTCCTGCTGCCTCAGCTTCCATCCATACAACAGTGAAGCTACTTCTGATACCTGAACTAAGTTCAGGGAACCCTACCCTACAGCAGAGACAGCCACGTAGACATTGTCACCGAAGTAATTTCAATCAACTACAAGCATGTAGTGCCCAGGTTTTAATTTTAAATCTATGGACTTCTTGAATGAGGATATACGCAGGACTGCAGAACAGGCCAAGAGAAATGTAACAGCAGAACCCAACCAAACTCAAGAGCTGACAGTACAGGAGGAAATAAAGCAAATAGGGGATTTGCATACAGCACGCTGGTCCAAAAATCAGGTTGCAAAGTCTAGGTAAGAATAAATTTCTTCGCGCAAGAAGGGTTTTGCAACTAACTTACAAAGATCATTTCTTAAATCTTTCGAAGGCGTATATAGGTTAACTCCAGAAAAAAGGAATTTAGCTAAATGATATAGTAGGTGGTAGAGATTATTTTGTGATATTTCAATACTGTAAAGCATGAAAAGCATATAGCTAAGAGGTGATTTTACTATACTACAAATAGTTTGTCTAATTGAACATTCATTCATTCCTTAGTCTTATTTCTGGCACGCACTGGAGCACTAGAAAGGCTTACTGTAGTTAATAGATTTTTTTTTCAATTAGAAAACAATGGATAAATAATTAAAAGAATTTGAGCTATATATGTCTATTACTACTGATTCTAGTAAAAAAGTACTCAAATTTCCTTGTAGAACTAGATCTGCATCACTTTACTTAGGCAAGCTACAAACAAAACAAAAATCACAGTCCCAAAAATATTACAGTTGAAGCATAGAACAACAGAAAACAGCTGTTGCTTAAGCAACTTTTTTTTTTTTTTTTTTTGTAAAACAACATATTAGGAAAATGACTGTTCAGTCAGTTATCACATCCCAGGATGAGAGCTCGCAACTTCTTAAGCTGCTCTACCATACTCACTTTTGATCATCTGCTTGGTATCGTATAGTATTTATTAGAATCTTACCAATACTGAAAAAAATTGCTAAGCTAAAGAAAATCACTTCTTCCTGGCATCCGTAGACAGGACTGGCCTGGGAAGAGGAAGTCCAAAGAGAAGTCACAAAAGTTTTCCTATACAATAACTAAACAAAATAGAACTTCAGAAGTTACTACTAAAAAGAGGAAAAACTCCCTGCATCTTGCTGACCATCACATCTGGACTTGGCAGAAAACTTAACTGCAAGGATAGAAAATTCAATGCCAAGGCAAGGCGGGGATGGGTGCAGAAAAAGAAATTTTGCTTCTCGGACTCTTAAAAGGTCAAATATTCTCATCACGGTAAGCAAACGAAAACATGTTCATAAATGTTTCCTTATTTTTACATTAAAAAGTAGCATATGACCTTTGCAGGGTCAAAATGTCTTGATATCTGACACCAGGCACCAAAGAGCTGAACCTTACAATTTACCTTCCAAGGTGGTGGTCTGAAAAACACTATGCTTTACCCATCCATGCCTCATGCATTTAGACATCAAGTTTCCATTTCTATTAAATTGCTAAAGTTTTAGCAATTTAAATCTCCATGTAGCCTACTGTGAGCATGTGAAATCCCTAAGCACAATCTTGCACCAAATATTTTAACATTTTACCTTAAAAAGTTCTCTTTTTTTGGCCTACCGCAATTAATATTAGAAAGCACCAATGAAACAGAATAGGACAAAAAGAGGACTGAAGTCACAGATAAAATACATATTTAGTCCAGAACAGTCCAGTTACGAAACACATTATATCCTTTTTTGACAAAACTGAGCATGGATTAAAATATCTATGCAGACATAACCCACAGTAAAATGACCTTTTTGGAGGATTAGCTAATTTAAAAGTCATAAGAAGATATGAATAGCTGCCAAAAACGTGTGGGGCATTAACAAACAAACAGTGCTCTGAAACCTTCAGTTGTATGCTCCTTTCACTTGTTTCCATCTAAGCTTTTGCCCTTCTCATAAAGCTCTATTAACATACGCCAAAAATAAAATTCTGCTGTAAGAATTCACATAATGAAGGTAGAGGAAAGCCTACAACTAATAATCTCCTTTCTTATGAGCAAGATGAAGCAAAAAGAAACCAGAGATTCACACAAAAAAAACAAAAGAGACCTTATTTGGTCATCTGTGTGTTCACTGCCAGAGCAGTGTTTGCAAGTTGTAAGGTTTGATGTATCCCAAAAAAGGCAACTCAGAAGCATTTGTGTATGACAAAATGTACTGGGAACAGCCCTGCCATTTTACTAAAAGCAGAATGGAAGTAACTTACCTGTCATTAAACATACATAATCAAGTTAACATAAGAATGTGCAAAAAATACCTGTTTGCTAAGTGTAGGATACAGGATCCTCGTTGAAGCAGCTGATGTTAAACTAGCTTTTTTTGCAACCTTTCCTTTTCCCATATTAAAAAAAAAAGCACAGAAAGGATTGTGATTGCTGTGATAGTGAAGGCTGTTCCACTTACATAGATGCATAGTACATATCAAAAGAAATTTCAAATTCCTCAGTAATTCCTCCTAGAGAGCACAATTTATAAAAAGCTAACCTAATTGCTCTTTAGCTTCAAATGGAGAAAGGTATGCCACTGAGGGGTATTTTTTAAAATCCCAGTAAGATGTATGGTAATAAAAAACATGGAAGGTTATTGGCATTCAGAAGTATCCCCTAACCAGCTATGTAACAGCTACACTGCAATATTTATTTCATTCACTGCTCTTGAGTGAAGTTCAATTATATGTAAATAAGGAGAGATATGATGAAAGCTGTTTTTCCTATTCTGATTTACACTAAAAGCAATAAAACATGAAACTGTTGCTATGTAATAAAAATTACTATAATTTTTTAAAAACCAAAATAAAATGTCAGATTTTGGGTACAGATACCTCACGCAATAGAGCACCATAAGTAATACAGAGCATGCTAACTAGACCTGCATCCTAATTCTGGTGCAGCACTGTCACTGCTCCCATTTCCAATTCATCCAACACCATTTCAGTGACCATAATGCAAAGCTGCATGTGTTCAAAAACAGAGCTTTCATTACTGACATTTGATATTTAAGTAAATTTCTACCCTTTGAGATATTAAAAATTCAACTGAATAAATACCCGAGCAACCCAATCTAACTGCATCTGCACTGAGCAGGGGCTAGACTAAATGATCGCCAGAGCTTCAGGCCAAGCTAAGTTATTCAGTGATCCTAAGCCAACGCATCTCCCTCTAATTCTATAGTCTTTGTCCTCCTGCATACTACCACAGTAAGAAAACCCTCCAAGACTATAAACAAGTGGCCAAAAGCAATCACATGCATAGGAAAGAGACCCAATCTGTGCTTAACCCCAAGAACATCAGCAAAGTGTTTTCTCTTACTCTTCATCCCCAAACACATTCAAATGAAGTACAACTATCTATATACTGTGTGCTACTAAGAGAGGCGGACTATTTCAGCTGCGTTGTAGAGCGCTCTTAATCGTTGACATTTTCAGCTCTCTCCGTAGGTTCATTAAAAGAAGAAAATAGGACTCCATCCATCACTGACAGTGAGAGAGAAAACTTCCAAAATGATCACAGAGCATAAAATATTCACAACAGGAAGGCACATACTCTAAGCAGCATAATTCAGACCCTGTTTTGTTCATAAAGAAGCCTAACAACTTTGCACTTACTGTTAAAGTTTCCATAAGAGCTACAAATATTTTCTTGTTACTTAGAGGAAACACTAGCTCTGTAAATTATGCTTCATGTCATTTATAAAGTTTTTGTGAAGTTGAAAGGATACTTTCAGGTTGGGTTGTTTTTTTTTTGCACTCAAAGCAAATCACACAGATGAGGTGTCTGAAAATCACTGTAGCTAAAACATTCTACTAATACAATTATTTTAATCTATATGAAAGAATACACTCATGCTTTCAGTTTATGCTACCTGAGGTGATTAAGCAGAGGTTGGAGCCTCTCGTCAGACTGTATGGAAGGCAGCGATCGTGCTGTCAGCTAGAAGAAAATAGAAGTTCAATTAAAAAATAATTATCTTCAAAAAATTCATAGCACAAAAGAGGAATGATATAACTTTTATACAACACTGGATAAGACATACTTTCTCCTATTACAAACAACTAAGCACAGCCTTCCAGAATCTGAAGATAGCAGAAATATTTACAAGTTAACAAAGGCAAATGGTGCACAACAATTTTTCAAAAATTACAATGTTCTTTGAATTAATTATCAAGACACCACTGAAAGTAGTATATATTTTTTTACAAACATGTTTGAACTAGAAGAACCTAGACAGCCTAATGCAAATATAGTCCATTAAGCCATATTATATACAATTCACATTTGTATAGAAACATTTATATAATATTTAGCACTATATGACTTTTATATAAAAATGCCTAGGTGTCTTTTTCTGGAAAAATAAACCTAGTAGTCTATAAATCAACAAGCACAGGTCATGCTACTGTAGAATACTAGTTAACTGGTGTATTAAATAATTGGAAAAATGTACGTACTAAATTTGCTTAATATCAGTATATGGGCATCTACTGTCACCTATAAAAGTTAGAAGCATAGCAGTTCTGATACTGCTGACATACATCTAATACAAAATATTCAATATGCATTTAATTAATCTATTGCTGCCAAGTTATGCTGTATTTTGAAAACTACCTTCGTACAAATCTAAAATTTCAACATACGTCACATCATATAAATCACCATCAAGTTCTTAAGTATTTTACAGGTAACTTAAAATGGCATGCACACAGTTGTACAAACGCTTTAAAAATCTTATTCAAAAAAAAAATCTTTTAACACCAACTGTGTAGCTTCACCTTGTGGCTCCAACACACAAGCAAAGGCAAGCACTGAGCTACGACTCACTATCAGGCTGCAACTTCTGTTTATAACCTGCAAATAAATTTACCCCAGAAAAAGCTGCTTTCAGTGTCTGGGTACAGGGGGTTTATTTGTAACTGTAAGGAACTCCATCAGTTCACAGACAGCCTGTATGAATATGAAGAAGTTTAATATTTTCCTGAAAGATCACCCATTCATCTCATCCATTTCATAACCTTTGCTGCGAGGCAGAAGTCAGACTGGGGCCAAATTTTAAACTTGTGCCTCAAGCTAGCAATACCAACCACCAGCTAAACAACAGGACGTTCAGAACAGCCAGTGTGTCAAGCAAAAGTTGAAGCTACAGAACACAAGGGCAGCAGGGATGGGGGAAGGTGTCATTTCAGCTGTTAAGCCACTCCTGGCCCGCAGCAATCACTGCTTCAAAATGCAGCTCTTCTGTCTGGAGGAACCCAAGCGTGCTCATTCGATCTGACTGCTGGAGTAGGGCAACTCAGGCAAGTCTCAGCAACCCATTCATCCTTCCTTAAAAAAAAACAGTGGTATCTTGGCAATTAAAGCATTATCCACATTCTCTTATTTTGAGGAGCTACACTGAGATTCAGAGGGTATACTACAAATTCATTCAGCTCTGGATATATTTAGAAGCTAGTTTTCTTACCACTGAGTACTAAAGGCTGATATATGCATTGTTCTACAGTTATGTCCTCTATAAAGTAACCTTTCCATTTTGCTTTAAACATAATCAGAAAACCAGAAATTATTTCTGAACAAAAACTTGGAAGTCCTCTAAGTACCAGCCAAGTTATTCCACTTGGCAAAAATCAGAACAGAGCCTGATTTACCTGAAATAACATCTGCTTCTCTTTCTATTAATACCTTAACTGATACAGGGTGAGAGAGTGGCTGTGTGGTGTTTGTCTGCCGCTAGCTGGGTTTAAAAACCACAACACACTTGAAGTCACAGGAGACTCGACAGGGCAAATGTTCGGGGTTTTTTTTTCCCTACTGACTTGCGTTTCACCAACAACTAGGGAATCTGCAAATTTTAGAAGCAAAATGAATCCCCATTTTCTTCCACTGTGTTCCCTGGAAGAACAAGATAAAATCTGCTACAGAATACACTCTTGTGAAAATAAGATCATACACCTTTCAACTCTTACAACAAATACAAAGTTAGGTTAGTTCAAATGTTTGTTTTCAGGAAGATGTGGAATCCTCATGACATTGTTGTTTTCTATCTAAAACCAATGGCAGTTTCCCTTAAACACAGTTGAGGAGAGCCCATCAACATATTTGAACAATTTTAACCGAAAGAACAAATCTTCCTTTAATTTACCTGGATTATAAAAATAAAAATAAAATTTTCATGTATAAATTCTTTCCTCACAACTGTATTTTTTCTAACTGAACTACCCTGTGAATAAAATTAGCTTTTACAAAGGTGGGGGCATATTAATGCTAGTGCTTTCAAACAGCTATGAATTTTATGTCCTTTTTCAACAGCTATTTTTCTAAAAGAAAAAGACAATCCCAATTACAGAATCCAAACTGAGATTCTGTAGACTTTCTCCAATCACTCTGAAACGAAATGTAGACAAATTCCTGCAAGCACAGCTATCTCTTCATCTCTGTATGGTACTCAACACAAAGATCATGTTACCAGAAAAAAAGAAAAAAAAAGAAAAACACCACCACATGCTATTCGATGTTGTAGATATAGAATGATATTAAAGCATTGTAAAGTAAGGAGCATAGCTCCAAACTCTAATCATGTTGAAGCAGTTTAATTTACAGAGAACATAAAGCACCACATAGTTAAAATACTTCCAGTCCCAAGGCCCAGGTGTTCCCAGGAGCGGGCAGAGTGAGCCGCAGAAAGAACACACCTCGGAGCTGAGCTGAGATGGTAAAAGCTGGGGTGGGTGATGTAAATCATTAAGGCATATGAAGCACTATGTTATCAATATCACACATTCAAAATTGTGAAAGGAGGAAGAATGCTTAACTATACAAGGAAAAGGAATGAATAAACTGAAACCTGAGACAATGTCAGTCCAACTTCATATTAGCTTTAGTACCAGAGTCACCAGGTGCCTTTGCTGCAATTCAGACTGCCAACAGTATGAAAAAAAAAAAAAAAACCAAAAAAACAAACCACCACAGACAAAGACCCCACCCCCCCAAAAAAAAACCATCACCACAAAACACACCACAAGCAGTGAAGGGAAAAATCAAACCAGAATCTTAATACAGCTGAAGTAAACAGAACTTCCAAAACCAAACTCTGACAAAACTCAGTAATATTTTCATGCAATCTTGTAAAAGAGCAAGAAGCTGAGTTCTTCTTTTCCTTTGAGCTTTACACAACAATCACATCTCTAGTGTTCACTGTGCTGCATTTGTGGCAAACAAACAGGACATTTCCATATGGCACCAGGAAGGTAACAATCTGAGAATGTAGAACGCACGCAGTGATTGAAAAACTTACAGGAACATTAGAATTATTTAAGATTTGGCAGTGGTATTTCCAGTAAGAATAAAGGTTGATGGATCACAGCTTGTAGGTTGTATAATATCTAAGATTTGGTCTGGTTTTCTTCCCCTCATCCAAACATGAGATCAGCACATGAAATTCCAAGTTATCAAAGACCTACTTTTTTGAAGGTTTTTGTAAATTTGACACAAGCTCTGCATGCTATCAGAAGGCAATGACATTTTATACATGATAATTAGGAACAAGATTATCATGCCTCAGTTAACTTGTCTCAATTTTTTAGGAGTGTGTGAATTGCTTGATTTTGAGGTTATCACTTGAGAGCTATTTGCTCTCTAAGTGGTTTTCTGCGCAAAAAAGATAAGAGAATTGTTACCTTTACAAAGAGTTTACTTTCTAAATGAGATGTTCTAATTAGCTGTATTGCACAAGAAAATTTTAATATGCTGTCACACCATTTGATGAATACACTTTTTTTAAAAAAAAATGACATTAGTTGATATCATTGATAAAAATGACATGGAAGGCTTAGGAGTAAAGCACAGAAAGAAAGGGTTTGTGGCAAAGGCTCGTTTTAGCTGAGGCAGGCTACTGAATTACTCCAGGAATACAAAAAGAGATGCTACTGGTTTGTACAAAATCTACTGAAGGTGGTTCTATACCACCTCCTTTTACCTTTTACACTCAACAGCAAGTCTTCCCTACTAACAGAGGCAAATTTATGAAAAGAAAAAATTAAACT